ATGTTATTTATTACAGTATTATTCAATGTAATTTTTATAAAAACTACTATAATATTAATTTTTTTTATAATAATACTATAATACTGTAAGATATTTGTTTACCTCTAGTTAATAATTAATTATCGAAAAGTGGTAAGAACTAACAATCCATTTTTAAAAAGGGCTGTGAAAAGAGCGTTTTCTTTCATCTGGTCTGCAAAATGTTACTCCATCTATTAGCTAATTGAAGTTGCTAATGAAGTTCAATTAATGCAACTTTATCCTGAAATACGTGATATTGTTGAAAAAAATTGCATGGTCTCTCGATCGGGTATTTACAAACAGTATCAAGAGCTTGATGCAATTATAAAGGAGGTGAATAAGGCCTTAAAATCATTAATACCTCCTATTCCACAACATCATTATTAGAAAATCGCAGCACGTAATTGCAAAAATTTTTTTGAAGTAAAATTTATATTAATCAATATTTATTTTTGATCAATTAATTATAATCACAATTGTACTAACAACTATTTTAGTTTAGGAATAACTTATTTCAAGTTATTAGATATAATGATTATCAACCATCAGGACCAAGAACTCGGCCAGAATCGACCACGGAATGTCAAAGATTTCGAACGCTCCTACGAAATTTTGAGTGTGTAGATCCAGTAAACTTGAAACCTTGTCATAACCTAGGCGGAGATTGCGAATTGGATGAGAATTTAAAAAATTTTACTCATTTTGCAAAAAATGCTTGACGAAAATTTATTATTGAAACATTTATTAATAAAAATGATTCTTTTTTACTTAAGCTAATACCGATCATGAAAAAGGAAGCTGGGGCCCAAGTAGCTGAAGAAAATTTGACTATACCTGAAATTTTAGTGAAAATTGAAACCTTTCTTGAATAACTTGGTGAAAATATTCAAAAAAAATATTGTGGATTAAAATCAAAAAGAAAGAGTGAATTATTTGAAATACTGCAAGAAATTAAATCTCTGCTTAGTTCGGATAATGAGGTTGATAATGAGGATAATGAGGTTGATTATGAAGATATTTTAGAAGATTCAGAGACGATTCAGCAAGAATGAACTTATATTATATTTTTTTTTATATTAAAAATATTCAATCATAATTATGTAATTTATTAGTCAATACATTTTATTTTTGTAATATATAGCAAAATTTTGAAATAAAATTTTATTTTAAAAAAAAATAAATTTTCTAAACTAAATATTTGTACATAAATCTATTTATTTTGACCTATTTTGTCTTCACTATTAGTACAATTAAATAATAACTGCACCGATAGAAAAAAAGAACCCGAATTATTACCCGTAAGCAGGGCAACACACTTCACAAAACTAATTTTCACCAAATTCAACCCATTGCCATTTTTCTATTCCATCATTGTTGAAACACACTTCGTCGAATACTGGAATATTGGAATAAGAGTAAATTAAGTCAGAAATTAATAGCATAACAAATCTCAGTGTATATGTTATAACATTTCTGCTTTAATCTTGTGATCTAAACAACATACCTTACACAGTCAGACTTCCCTAAGTGAATCTCCCGGGACTAAAAAAATCGATAGTGCGCGCTTATAGAAAGAAAATTATGAGCTCAGGATTATATAGAAATATAGTGTGCATTACTAATAAGATCCAGAGATTTGTGGCCCAGTTATACCAGACAACACTTTAATAATGTGCATTTAGAGAATAATAAAAGTGCATTTACAGAAGCCAAGTATATATTTGGGCTAGCACTTGAGCGTGCATTAAGAGAGGGTGTGCACTTATAGAGAGTGCACTTAGAGAGGTCGGATTGTATTCTAACGATTGGGGAAAGAAATCCGACAGATGATCATTACTAAATAAGGTGCGATCTGCAATAGCCAAATATGGTATATTCCCGGACTGTATTAGCACACGACTCTAAACTCATAATTGTGATTCTTTAGGCTTCCCGTCAGAGGCGAGACTATGGCGATTTAGCCGGGTAAGTGTTTAAATTGAGCAATGTTTCTATGTTCGACTAGATCTTCTTTTATATGATTTCACAACGTTGGTACAGAGCTCCTTAAAACTTTAATTTATAATATAAACAATGCAAATTGGTAATGTTTTATTGTTTAACTACCTAAGCTAGTCAGGGTCGGTAATGTGGCTCGACGGAGCTCGATGGTTACATGAATGGACTCAAAAAACTAGTATCCATTGATTCCATTCAAAGATCAATTGCTCCATTTACAACTCCATTTGGTTCCATTGAGCTCTATTGCCAACCTGATGGTAGGTGATAGACTCATCATTGAACGATAGCTATGGTAAGTAATAAATACAAACTTGTTACACGAAGTTGCTCACTAACGGTCAAATTTATTTGCGTTGCTTTGATATTGGTAGTTTTGTTACACATTTTATTTGTTTAAACGTCAATGATTTTATATCTTTCGGGGGGGGTAATAGCTATCTATTTACAAAGAAACTTTCATTTTCTTGCTAAATTTCCCATCAATTGAACGATCCCAACACCAACCTTCCTTTTTATTTACTACTATGATGTTTTTCATCCCTTAATTTTCTTAATTCGTGCTTGTTTGGCTTTCGACAATCTTTGCTAACATCACTTTGAAGTTCGAACTTGTTATTCGAAGTGATACGAAAAATTTTCGAAATATTTTTTTGACGTTTATGGAGGTCATTCTTTGTAAGCATGCATTTAAAAATATACGCTTAGAGATAGTCCATTTAAGAAGATTCACTATATGTATTATGCTTTGCCAATGGAAAACCGATTTCGAGTTTGTAAATTCATTATCGACTCTTATCTGAAAAAATTGATCTGAAATTATGTACCATATGTTTCACTGATCAGATTTTCAAGGAGTTGAGTAGAAGCTTGGTTTTCTTTTGGCAGCACTTAGAGTAGATTTTTATTTATGCTTTAAGGGTTGTATGTATATGTTACACGGTAGGTATTGTCGATATAGTTTAAAAGTTTCCTTAACGTTAAATGTTTGCATGATAAGGATAAATAGGAAGTAAATTTGTATATCTTACCCTGCCGAATAGAGTTTTTGGACAAACCGGGGAATTGGTTATCAATAAACAGCCCATGATCGATCGACGATTGATCAGGTTAGAATATTAACAGTATATATATGCGTGTATATATTATTTATATTATTAAAAGACAAATTAGGAAAACTAGAAAATTCTGACCAAAATAGATTACAAATTCCCGATCGACAAACTTTTGCATGTGAGCAAATGACCAACTATGACTTGGCCCCTTTGAATGCCCTGTACATATGACGTACGTACATACTCGATAATGAATGCGGTAAAAAAAGTTATTTTCAATAGCATTGTTTTCAAGATTCCGTTATATAGGGTAGTTGAGCATTGTTCAAATAAAAAAATTAATATTATTCTTTACAACATCCTTATTAGGTTTTGTTTACGTTTCGTCTTACAGCATAATAAATATGGGCTATTGTAATTGATTGGTCTAAGTATTGCTTTCATAGTCGATAACATTTTTAATGTGTCCAGGTGTAGAGCATAATTCTTTCGATGGATTCTTTTTCATAAAGCTATATATGATAGATACGTACGTACACATGCATACTTGTTGTATATCACAAATAAGAATGTTTTTTATCATAATTCGGTTAGCCTTTATCCATATCTAACACAATACGACTTGGTGTGCACAAATAGTTTATCGGAGGCATTTATGCTTATTTATATTGAAATGAACCCAAAAACGGTTAATGTGGTTATAGTGGTTATATCATATCGGCGTAGTGTAGGCACGTTTTCATACGTATTAAGATGATGTATTATTTCTTATTGTAATCGAGAGCATTATCATATTGTTAACTTTATCATTATATATTTTCTTTATCTAATGCTAATTATATAATAAATTAACGAATGTTAATAGTTATGACTTTTATAAAGTTTCTTAATATACTTTTGGGCACGTACTTTATTTAAAGCAAACGCGCATAACATTCATTAACATTACCAATAATAAGTTGGGTCTCTCAAATGATCGACACATTTACCCGTTTAGATTATTCCTGATAGTTACACATATGCAAAAAATTTCCTGATTTGAAAAGACAATATGAAAAAGACAATATATTAATAAATAAAACACAATTAAAAGGAAATAATATGTACTTCAAGATGACTTACATTGCTTATCTGGATTGTAATAGCTGATAGATAATAATAATTGTTCGTAACGCTCAAAAATACTTATTATGCGCTGTGAAGAGCAAATTGCAGTATAATTTTTTTTTTTTTATGTAAATCATATAAAAAAATTGATTGCCATTATATTTTGGAAAAAAAAAACAATTCTCTCTCTCTTACCTATTACTTAATGAAGAAAATCGATAAAAGGAGTCTGTTTTTTTGCAAGACTTTTTACGACAATAAACATTCTTGTTTGATCTGTCAACTGTCACCTCAAAAAATAAATCGAGAGACTTTGATAGCTCTTAATTTTTGACGCCGCAGAAAAATAAGGAACTCCTTTCTCTTTTTTTATACCTCCTTCCCTTTTTACGCAAAACTTCATTCTCTTTTACGTTTTTCGACAAAAAATTTCCTTCATACAAAAATACTCTAAAATTATAATACGCGAAGATGTCGACGATTAAAGTAACTTCATCTCAGTCACCAATTTCTCGATCCTCTCGTATAGGCATAATTGGGGCTGGTCCGGCGGGTATTTCAATTGCTCACTTTTTACGTAAAGAGGGCTACTCAAATGTCACATTACTGGAATCCGCTCCCCATATAGCCGGAAAAAGTTCTACTTTTTATCACAATGATCGTGGTTATGATGTTGGTGCTTTAATGGTGGGTCACAATTATTCACTAGTCAAATCTATCGCGGCTGAACTTGATTGTCCTCTCGAAAAATTTTATTGTGGTGCTTTGGACATTGATAAGAATAATTTTATGATTGAAAATGTTTGCCATATTGGAGTTATTTCCGATTCTTTTTCAAAAAATATGTCTCATTATTTAGAGGAAAAAAAGCTTTTTGAAAAAGTTACCTTGCCTGGTCATGGCGATCTAAGTGAAAATCATTTATATGCTCCCATTTCTCAATATTTAAAAGATCGAAAATTGGAGTATCTGAAAGATGCTTGGGCTTTGGCATATACCTCTGCTGGATATGGTTATATACAAGATGATATACCGGCTGCATACTTCTTAAAATTTATTCAAAATTCGGAAAATACTATTTGGCGTTTCAAAAATGGATTTCAAGATTTCTGGATTAAAATGTCTAAGGTACTTTTTTAAATTTACACATGTATTGTATTTCCTGTATGATTTTATTCTATGCATTCACGTGACTAACTACCCTTTATGTATTGGCTTGTGTAGGGTCTTAATGTTATATGTGAAAATGAAGTAATATATATTGACCGTTCTCTCAAAAGCCAAAACCTTGGCCCGATTCTAGTCACCGTCCGAAATACTAGTTCAAATTTCTCTCAGACACTTGCATTCGATCAGATCATAATTGCCACTAATCCTCGACAAACCGTTCAATTTCTTGATCCCTCACCTCTTGAAACACATCTTTTTTCTCAAATAATTACATTTGATTATTATACAATAATTGCAACTGTGGAAGGTTTATCTACAAAAGTTGGAATGACTACAATTCCTAAACATTGCAGCTCCAAAGAATTTGTTGGACATGTTACTGCATATTATTGCGCCTACGAAGGTGTAGATACTTATTTATTTTATGCTTATGGTAGCAAGGAGATTGACCAAGAACAAGTTACTGAAATCTTTAAAGAAGACTTATTAAAGATGGGCGGCAAGCTAAAAGAGATTCATTATAATCAACGTTGGGACTTCTTTCCGCACGGTAAAAAAAAATATATTTTTATATATAAATTCCGCATCACGTGACTAATAATATTTTTTCTTTATTATAGTCTCATCGCTTAGCATGGCTAGAGGTTTCTACAGCAAAGTAGAGAACATGCAAGGCCAAGATGGAACTTACTATGTTGGTGGCTGGCTTGACTTTGAACTTACGGAAAATTGCATTTCTTACAGTAAAGATCTTGTTAATCGATTCTTTAATCCAATGACCAATTCACAAGAAATTCTCCATTTACCAATCCGTCCAAAATTTGATGTCAAACCTGTTTCTACTGCAAATTGGGGAACCGTGTTACGCCTCTCCGCGAAGCGATTCCCTGATAAGGTTGCGTTCAGTTGGGTTGATGTTAACGTTCGAGAGGAGGCTAAAATCACTTTCTCTGAATTATATCGTCAAGCTCGTGCTGTCGCGTATTACCTTCGTCACACAGCCAATCTTAAAATTGGGGATCCTATTTTACTTTGTTATGCACCTGGTCTAAAATTCCTTCCGATTCTTTTTGGATGCATGTTGGCTGGTATAGTGGCCGTGCCTATAGCTCCGCCGAACCTTGCAACTGCCGATAAAGATATAGCAAGATTTAAATATCTTTCTAAAACCACCAACGCAAAAATAGTATTTAGTGACAAGAATTATATGCTCTACACGAGACTCTATGCAGCAAAAAGCTTTTTCGGAATGGCCAATAAAATAGATTGGCCAGAAGGACTGGTATGGGTTGAAGGGGAAAAGGTCACAAGTTCAAAAGATCTTTTTGATGAGAAATTGATTGAAGAAGTTGATTGTGAAAACGTTGCAGTAATTCAATTTTCGTCTGGTAGTACTGGTGATCCAAAAGGTGTCATGCTCACCCATAAGAATTTACTTCATAACGTGGACCTTATGCAACATGAGATTGGTTTGAATGAAGACTCTATGATCGCTTTTTGGGTACCTCAATTTCACGATCTTGGACTTATTGGTGGATTCCTCAATACTGTTCGAGGAGCTTGTCAATCATGTGTTATGTCACCTTTAACGTTCTTGCAAAAACCCGAATGTTGGCTTCAAATGGTAATTTTATCAACACATTCACATTTTGACACATTGACATATACAGTAATTGATTAATTAACGTTAATCTATTAACACAGATTACCAAATATAACGCCACTTATACTGCGGCACCAAACTTTGCATACGAATTAGCAACACGAAAATGTGACGAAAAATCGGTCGCTTCGCTAAATCTAAGTTCTCTTCGGGGCGCATTCAATGGTGCAGAACCAGTTCGTTGGTCAACGCTTCGGTCATTCGCTAAGAAGTTTGGTCCGGCTGGATTTAAACTTTCAATGTTTAAATGCTTATACGGTTTAGCCGAACATTGTGCTTATTCGGTTGGCTTCCAAAATCTTTATGACGTTCCTACCGTACTTGATATTGATCCGCAAATTTTGCGACAAGGTCATGTGATTGTTAGGTCAAAGTCCGAACATCCAAATAATATAGTTTCAACTGGCGTACCTAGTCCGATAATGCAGGTCGAAGTTAGAGTTGTGGATCGAGAAACTAGACAACTCTGTTCACCTTGCATTGTAGGAGAAGTCTGGGTTTCTAGTCCAAGTGTTGGTAAAGGTTATTATGGAAAAGAAGAAATATCTGAAGACATATTTAGAGCAAAATTGAATAATAGTGACCACGGCAATTGGATAACTGACAACGGAAGTTTCCTAAGAACAGGTGACCTTGGATTCCTGTATAATGGAGAACTTTTCATAACTGGACGAGTAACTATCATTGTGTTTATCATGTATAAAGTTTGGAATCGGTTATTTTTCATATGTTAAAACAGATTAACATTTGAAAAATTAAGTCAGTTCCAAACTTCAGTCATGCGATTGTATAATATTTATCTTAAATGTTATTTTATTAATATTACATAGGAAAAAGACGTTATTATAATTAATGGCAAGAATCATTATCCACAAGATATTGAAGTTTCTGTTCAAGAATGTCATGATGAAATCAGACCGGGATGTGTTGCAGCACTTCACCATTCTGATACTGAAACTGGTACAGATTCGCTTATAATCCTCGTAGAAATTCGCAATAAAAAAGATACTAGATCGGAATTCTTACAGTTTATTATTGACGAAATTGCTCGAACTGTTCCTGGAAAACATGGACTTTCACCTCAACGAATCGTTATTCTCAAGCAACATAGCATTCCAAAGACAACAAGTGGTAAACTTCAACGGTCAAAAGCAAAAGATATGTTATTATCTGGTCATTTAGATAAAAGGATTTTACTAAGCGCGGGTGAAATTGTTGTTGAACCGGATTTTGAAGGACTGAGTTCGAAACGTTCGAGTCGTGTCGAGGATCCAAAAAAGGTTATGGATGTTTCACAAATCGAAAAAAAGATTGCCGTTCATGTTCATCAAGTTTCCAAATTGGCATCGAAATTACCGATTAATGAAATTGATATGAAAGCCAATCTTATAACTGTTTATGGGTTTGATTCTCTTGGAGCCGTTCAATTAACTGCTTGTCTCAAAGACGAATTTGGTCTAGAACTTGCACCTGCTCTTATTGTGGATCATTATACAATTTCTGATTTGGCAATTTATATTCATCAGCGACTAAATGAAAAGGAAAAGGTTGTTTTGTGTGAGAATGCAAATGAAGTAATGCCTCTTAAACAGATTCAAAGTAAAATTGCGAGTCAAGTTCATGCCGTATCTAAAGTTGCAGCAAAGATTCCATTGGATCAACTTGATTTCAATGCTAATCTCATTACCGATTATGGATTTGATTCGCTTGCTGCTGTGCAGTTAACTGCTTCAATGAGTCAAATTTTTGGTATTGAGATAGCTCCAACATTATTATATGACATTCACACTATTAATGATCTGGCAAACCATGTTCATAAACAACTTTCAGAAAATAACCCGTCTGAGAAAATTTCACAATCACATGAACTTTCAAACAAGGCTCCAAAGGAGGCACCGCGTTTGATACCCTTGGCTCCACGTGCCATAATAAATAAACATAATCCAACTCTTTACTGCGTTCATCCACTTTTAGGAAATGTTGCTAGCTATGTTCATTTATCTCGTCATCTTGGAATCACTCGTCCTGTATACGGTATTCAGGCTCCTAACGATGTTGAAAGTGACATTCCATCAATGGCCGAGAGATACGTTAAGGCTATTCAAGATGAACAATCATCAGGTCCTTATTTCTTATGTGGATATTCTTATGGTGGTCTTATCGCATGGGAAATGGCTAGAATATTACAAAAATCCGGATCCAAAGTCGGAGGATTATATCTTATTGATGCACCATCACCACTAATGAATCGTGTTCGTCCACCACTTAGTGCATACAATGAACCACATAAAATCTGGGAGTCAGATATTGAACAACTCCTCACAGATGTTGATAGCCAATGGATGCATCGTCAAGAATTTAGTGATCCAGTAGAAACCGAAGCTTTCAAAAGAAAAGTTGGTATATTAATAGCATCAATGTATAGTCATACAGCAGATATTACTACCATGGACTCAATTCAACCATTCCCAATTCATTATTGGAGAGCAAAAGACTTTGCCGGAAAAACGAGTAATTTATTACTTGATCATCCATTATTTAATGAGCCGAATTTCGGATGGGAACGTTATCAAGGCAACATTACATTTCACCGACCGATTCCTGGAAATCATTATACAATTCTTCGAGAAGAAACATCAGGAAGACTGGCGAAAGAAATTGATACGCATATGCCACATAACAGTAAGAGAAGTAGCATGGATTTAAAACCATTAATGCTTGAAAACGTAGCAACTACACCATCGAGTAGATCAAGTAGTGCGCCAACTTCTGCAGCATCTCGATCATCATCAACGTCAGCATTCCCGTTATTTAGAACCGGAAATAATGGTCCCATGAGTAAAAAAGACGTTGCAAAAATGGCCATGAGTATACAAATTCCATTACCAGTTGTTCTAGTTGGAATGCTTGTGTGCGCATGGTTATACTCTAATGCCACAATACTACTATGAACAAGGACTATATACGTATTTAATTATTCATACTTTAGTAATTTGATATTCTAAACTATATACAC